ATCGAACCAATTTCATTAAACAATTGTAAACTATCTATATCGTATCCCAAAGCAGGTTGCACTGACGCTTCACATCACCAAAGGCATGTCACGTCACGACAGGTACATCGTCTTATGGCAGGTAGCCAGCCTACGTCCTTGCATCTATGTGAGGCCATTCCAATTTCATAAAACATTATATCAGGTATCAGCACAAGACATATTACACCTACAAAGAAATAATGGCCCATTATTATTCATATAAAGACAAATACAGTATACAAATTGACACCAAGCCCAGCGTTCTTTCCCAAACTACACTAAAGTCCTTGGGGTTACCACTGTGACTGCAACAGTTCTTTGGCACTTTCATTACCAGCTCTTTCCTAGAAATACTGGCGTTATATGAGTATATCACAGCACAAACGCAGTTTCCATGAACGTGTCAGTCAACAAACCCTCCTCGAGCTGGTGGTGGCGCTCAGCACAGGCTCTCGCAGCCAATCATAACACAAAATATATAAGGACCAATCAGAACTAAGCGGTGCTCGTGCGTGAACCAATGAAATTCAAAGGTTAGGAAACACTAGTGCAAATGAGCTGTTATCAATAATTATCCAATGCATATTTAAATCGCATTCGTATTGTCAACGTATATCTTGATATTAATGATCAACCCAAAACACAACCTTCCGGTATAAGCGTGTTTTCATTAATTACAGTTGCTGCAAGGGGCGGAGCTACTTGCTGCCAGGGTAAATTTGGCGGGGAAAATGCGGTAATGTCTGGACCAATCACACATTTGATCTTGATAAACAGAATATCTGAATCATAATGACAAATATCAAATCATTTACTTGTACATCAGCCTATACACACATATATTTCATATAAAATAATCTACCTACTAAGCTATCTCAAATAAAAAATGCCAGCAGCAAATAAATAAATAAATAGATAAACGAAAAATAAAGTTAGAAGAGTTTTCTATAAAACTCATAAGTGTAATCAAAGAAAACAATAAAACATGAAAGATTCGCAATATTCTACAATACTGATCACCATCATCATCATTTTGAAATCGTCCCAATTTGCAAAGGAACGGAAATCAAGCAAAAACATGACAGAACTCTATCAAGAGAACAGACAGGCAAAATATCCAAATGAACCTCCATTGGTCCAAAGGCATTCACAGTACCGTCAGAGCACCCCTAATCCTTTGATTAATTAGGTGTCGTTTCGCCAAATACTGTTCAGCTTCGAAGCGGCACCTGCTAGCCTGGGCATTATCCCCTGCTAGTTGTTTGTACAGACTAATGGCGTCCCATTGCCCCGGGTTCGTAGATGAGGCCGTCGACACTGCGCTGGGCTGAGCTACGTATTTCAAATGGATACTGAGCTACGTATTTCAAATGGATAAGCTAATGGATACTGAGCTACGTATTTCAAATGGATACTGAGCTACGTATTTCAATGGATACTGAGCTACGTATTTCAAATGGATACTGAGCTACGTATTTCAAATGGATACTGAGCTACGTATTTCAAATGGATACTGATCTGCACTTTCCAACAGCTGCCCCAGGTGGATAAGTCCCCCTGTAACGTAGCTAATTAGTTTACACAGCCCCCTGGATTCAGAGATATACTGCGAGATCATGACAACAGAATTTTCGGTGTTGTAGCATTGCAATGGAGAGACATTGTTCTACAACTAAACTGCCGTTGTTGTCGCGTTTGGTCGTCATCTCTAAAGCTTGTGGTTGTAGTCTTCTTGAGAGATACCATCACATGATACCCCTTTATACTTATGAAATTAGGTACTTTACTTCAGCACTAGGTAACATGTATCTTATGGATATTCAGTTATAAACGTCATTGTTATTGCCTCTGTAGGAAATAATGCATAGAAATATAAATGGTACTGAATAGTGAATGATGGTAGATAAAGAAAAAAAAACAACATCTAAGACGATCTGGGTGTAAACAGAACTAAACGGAAGTGTTCTTCCTTTCTTTAATTAATAAGGGTAGGAGGGATTATTCCGATTCAGTTACTTAAAGTGATTTATTCGGAATACCGAGGCCAATACGAGCCGTGCAGTTAAATTTTTCGTATTTTTTTTCTGTGCTAAGATGGGGATAAAGAATCGAGTTTTTTGCATTTTAATCATATGATTATTATACCATATTACTCTGAATATGTTCAATATTTTGCTGGTGTGAGTCTGCTGTAGCTTCTGTTGATAGGTTAGTCATCGTCAATCCGGAACAGAAAATCGTTTTATTGTTTTATTGCCTTTATACAATAGACACTCCGTAATAAGGTGAAACCACTATAACCGACCTTTGGCATCATTACTGTTTTTTTTCTTTCTTTCTTTTTTCTTTCTTTGATTATGACTCATATTGTTAACCACTAAATAACAAGATATAGTTCCTGTCATACCATCGAAATAATAAAACTAAAATGGCCTATAAAATCCACGTTATTAAGACGTAAGTATTCTTCATTTCTTGC